TTGTGATCCACACAGTCAAAGGCTTTGGCGTAGTCAATAAAGCAGAAGTAGATGTTTCTCTGGAACTCTTGCTTTTTCGATGATCCAGCAGATGTTGGCAATTTGATCTCTGGTTCCTCAGCCTTTTCTAAAACCAGCTTGAACATCTGGAGGTACACGGCTCATGTACTGCTGAGGCCCAGCTTGGACCTTGTCCTCGCAAGTAGTAAACGTTTTGAGTTGAACCCCTGAGCCTGCTTGTGTTTTGTAACTTGCCTACCTTGACTAAAGTAGCAGTCATCTGCAAAATAAGGAATGACTAAGAGCTTTTATTTTTTCCATCCAATAAGAAAGAAATGAAGCTTTTACTAATATGTATAAATTGATAATAGTCTCCTGAATCAACAAAGCAGAAGATCGTGTGTCGCACATGGTATTTAAATGCATCTTGGGAGAAAAGTGAGAATCTGCAACATGTGGGAGTCCATAGTGGTCCCCTCACTTATTTTTTTTGCTTACTGACAGTAATCAAGTTTCTAGATACTGTCTAGTTTTCACCAAACTACCCTTCATAGAATGGGCTTCCCAGGCTCGGCGGTAAATGCAGGTTTGATCCTTGAGTTGGGAAGATACCCTGGAGAAGGAAAATGGCAACCCACTCCAGTATTCTTGCCTGAGAAATCCATGGACAGAGGAGCCTGGCGGGGCTATGGTCCATGGGATCGCAGAAGAGTCGGACATGACTTAGCAAGTGACACAGCAAACAAATGGTCAAGGAAAAGGCAAGATTTAAATTCTTTTGAAACCCTTCAATCAAGGGAAAAATAAAATACAAACTTTTAAAGTCACTTTTTTTAATATATTTTTCAGATCAATGTAGAACTATGTGAATTGTTTGGCACAAAGCAAATTGTTATTCCTCAAGCCTCCCAAACAATGAATCCAACTGAAAGTACATCTAGCACAATCAAAACATTTCTTTCCAAACATTGTGCTGACTACCCAAACGACTGGGATGATCACCTATCAGCTGTTTCATTCGCCTTCAATGTTACTCACGTGGTATGTATCTTTTTATAATTCAGTACTTTTGAGTTATGATTATCTCTTGGCTGCATGTTTTATGACAAATGGTTGTTTATTTTTCTTGATAGGAACCTACTAAAAACACACCATATTTTCAAATGTTTAATCGAAATCCTTACATGCCTGAATCTTCAGATATTCGTGAAGTGGATGGTGATAATACAAGTATGTTTGCCAAAATTCTAGATGAAATTAAAGAAGCTGATAAAATAATGGAGAATAAGACAACTTCAGTGGACCAGGTGATTCTAATAGGAAAAAAACTATAAAAAGTCTATTAAGTGATATAAAAATGTTATTTCAGCATATACACACACACACACATACATATGATATTCACTTAAACCCAGTTTTTTCAATTGAATTCTGCATGTCTTGATTAAACAGTCTGTTTATTAGCTGTGAAATTCTGAGAGGCGTTAATAGGACCATGTGTTTTGGAATGAAGGTACAGCTGAATTTTCAAATCCCTGGTCTTGCTTCCCAGTTGTTTAACTTGGGCCTGTTACTTCATCTCATATTACTTTATTTTCTTTATAAAGTTAGGGTAATAATACTGATTTTGAAATACTGTTTAAAAAAATTAAATGGGATTCTTCCCTAGCTTTCAATAGCATTTCAATAATGTTTTTATTATAATATTATCTGTATTTACTTTCAAGAAACTATAGCTCTTTCATCTTTTTTTTTTAATACTTGCAGGTGGAAAACAATTTTGATGAACTAAATAAAAGCAAAATCATTGTTAAAAAGAAACCAAAGCAATTAAATCCATTTCATCTAAAAGTGGGTCATGAAGTTTTACGGCAGAGGAAAAACTGGTGGAAGGATGGTCGTTTCCAGTCTGAATGGGTCGGTCCTTGTGTCATAGACTATATTACAGAAAATGGATGTGCTGTTCTGCGGGACAGCACTGGAGCTAGACTTAAAAGACCTATCAAAATGTCCCACCTGAAGCCCTATGTAAGAGAATCGCATGAACAAGGTAAATATCTGTCCCTTCTCTACATTTTTACTTTCTTTGAATGAAAAGAGAAGTTAAATTATAAGAAATCTCTCCTCCTCCTCCCTGCCTTTCTTTTGGTTGGGTTTTATTTTCCCTTTTCGTTTTTATAAAATTTCGTACAGTGTTGGAGCCCAAAGAGTGTTTTTTATTAGCATATGGCTTCTGAAACTGTCAAGTTTGTAAGAGACTTTATTTTGATTTCTGGTGTACTTTCACACACTTTTTCTCACAGTTCATGTGCAAGATACTGGACGTCTTTCATAGAGGGAAGAATTACATCTTCATTATTTTCACTTTCAGCATATTTTGTCACTTTTAGCATGACATGATAGTAGCTAAGATAAATAATGCCAAATTTTTTTTGCCAAATTTTTTGTTGTGAGATAAATATATAAAGGGATGTTTAAAAATATGATTCATTTTTAATGTTGCATCTTAGTCATGGCCATCATAGATGAAGAGAAGGTGAGAGTGAGCGCTACTGAGAATGATATGAAACGCTATTATAGGAGGTGAACAGCACCCTAGATGATGTTACTTGCTCTAAAACGTGAATCTGAATAGTTAAGATATCCTGATCTTCTCTAATACTTTCTTTTGTAGACTAGAGCTAATTGACATGGCTTTCAGTTTAAATCCTACTTTATTGAAGCTCTTATTTTGTCCTATTGTATCTGCTCTCTAGAGTTTCTTTGAGGTAGATAACTGAGAGGGAATAAATTGGTATCTTAGCAAGTTACTTTTGTTTTTTCTGTAAAGAAAGATAAAGCATCAAAATTATTTGAATCTGAGTAACAAGAAAGATGCAATTTAGTGCCTTTTAAAACAGTATAAACAACTGTGTTATTTAACAGCCTTAAGTAAATAATAATTACAAAAATAATGATAATAGATAACCCTCTTTCTTAGGATATGAAGCCCTTGAGGCTGTTCAGCTGTTTCTGATCTGGATCACAACTCTCATGTTGAAAGCTCCTAGTACCTTTCTTTCTGCTTATGACAGAAGCAGTTGCTCTAGTAAACTTATCTTGGATCATTCCAACTCAGAAAGCTCCCAGTACCTTCATTCTCTATTAAAAGAAGCATTTTTATTCCTTGTGCCTTCTCAGTTCTAAGCTACCCTTTGTGATTTCTTCCTTCTGCAAGTTAAATAGGAACAAAAGATTATAAGGTGCAGGTCGTCTTTTCTTCTGATTTTCCCCTCAATCTTTGGTGTTCAGGACTTGATTCCTTCTAATGTGTTAACCTTCCTAAATTAATGCAAAATCTTTTTTTAAAATGTTACTGCATCAGGATCTGTTTCACCGTTTTGTAACTTGCTCTTGCCAAAGAATTTCTTAAAGAGACCTAACATTCTGCTACTACTGAATATTTCAGAATCCAGCTGAATAGAACAATTTCTAAACAGAAGCAGGACAATTTTTGCTTCATGCTTAAACTCTCTGCAGATTATTCTTCCAGTAATACAAAGGAAATTGCAGAATTAGTACTAGTGTACATATAAGGAACCTGAGATTGGTGGATAAGATTATTTTTCTTTGTGATCAAGAGAAGCACTAATCTAGCTCTCCTGGAGCCTGGTTCTTGTTTGTTCTGGTCTGTTTTTGTGTTCCTCTTATTGTTAGAAATTCAAAACAAATGTGATTTCTGTCATGTTTTCCTCTAGTATCACATATTTCCTCAAAATCTTCACCTCAGAAGCTGATTTTAAAGTCTTTGAACTAAATTTAAAGCAAATATAATAAAAATAAATGGAAAAAAAGAAAAAATAAAGCAAATATAATGTCTCTGAGTAGTCATCCCATTCTTTTGACATAAATTTGAACATAGTGTAGCCAGAAGGACTAAGGGTTTGTCTGCATTGTTGCTCTTAGCAGCTTCGAGATATCATAACTGCATTAAAGCTCACCGTCCAGAACAGATAGGCTTCTGTTGCCAACTTCTCACCAATTCTTATCCAGAGGGAGCACATTCAGTACTAGGTTGACAGTGTTTCTCATTGCTGTTTTAAGCAGGCCTATGTGTCTGTCTGTCTAGTTCAGTTCCAGGAACCTTTTCAAAACTATTTTAACAAAAAATTTTATGCCATACCATCCTGTCTCTTCATAATCATAATATTTTCCTTTGAGTGGAAGAATGTTATTGACTCCTTATTGTATGTGACATAGATTTTGAGTAATTTTGTTTTGATTGGGAATTATCATGATCATTATGTGTCTGCCTCCCCTAAAGGCCTTGGTCTGATTGCATCTCACAGTTTGTGAAATGGTTTTTATTCTTTTATAAGTTTCCCATTGCTGCCGTAACAGTTTATGACAAATTTAGTGGCTTAAAACAACACAAGCTTACTGTCTCATGGTTCTATACTTAGAAATCCAGTGTAGGTCTCAATGGGCTACAGTAAGGCATAGCAGGCCTATGTTCCTTTCTGGAGGCTCAGGAGGGGGGTTTTGTGCATTTTCTACCTTCCAGAGGCTGCTCACATCACATGACTTGTGGTCCTCTTCCTGTCGTAAAAGCCAGCAGTGGAGTAGAGTTCCTCTCACGTTACATCACTCCAGCCTCCTATTCTTCCTTCGTCTTCTGCGTTTCAGGACACTTATGCTTGGGTCCATCCTGATAATCCAAGATACTCTCCCTACTTTAAGGTTGATTGGTCAGTTGGTTAGCAACCTTAATTCCATCACTACCCTAATCCTTCTTTACCATGTCAGGTAGCATAATCACAAGGTTCATGAATTAGTACATAGCCACCATTGCTGTTGCTGCTGCTGAGTCGTGTCAGTAGTGTCCGACTCTGTGCGGCCCCATAGGCGGCAGCCCACCAGGCACCCCCGTCCCTGGGATTCTCCAGGCAAGGACACTGGAGTGGGTTGCCATTTCCTTCTCCAGTGCATGAAAGTGAAAAGTGAGAGTGAAGTAGCTCAGTCGTGTCCGACTTCTAGCAACCCCATGGACTGCAGCCCACCAGGCTCCTCTGTCCGTGGGATTTTCCAGGCAAGAGTCCTGGAGTGGGGTGCCATTGCCTTCTCCGATAGCTACCATTAGGGGTCCACTATTCTGCCTAACACAGTTATGGTCTGCACTCACAATAGAAAACAAAGCTTAGTCCCTATATTAAATAAAGCTTCACTTTATTATTAATACACAGTCATCTGTTGGTATCCACAGGGGATCAGTTCCAGGACCCCAATGGATACCAAAATCCACGCATGCCCAGGTCCCTTGTATGGAATGGCCCTGTTCTCCCCCACCTCCACATCCATGGCGCAGCTCTTGGGGTATGAAGACCAGTTGTAGTTTCTGCTAAGTGCCTCCCTTGGACCTCTTAGTTATGTCATCTCAAAATCAGAATCATGTAGTTCTCTGTTAGTACTGGTTTAGCTGGTATAATAATTAAGTAGTATCAAATTACAGTTATTTATTTTACCATGAGAAAAGTACTAGTAGGGCAACGCATGTACTAGTTTTAGGATATCAGACCATGCATAGGATTAGTTAGGACACTTCATTTCAGAATTAGAAAATTGTCCTGAAACCTTATACTTTTTCTCTTTGAAAAAATAAGCTAATCCAAATCACTGAGACTTTTCTGAGGCTTTGGTTTTAATATGTGCTTTTTATTTTTCTCCTTAGTGAAATTTTGACATTCTTATCTCACTTTGTTTTTTACTCTAAGACTAAATAAGGAAAAGTATGTAAAAACTGCTGATAACATCTTCCTGACATGTCTTGAAAATACCTCTCCTTCTGAGAAACTAAAGACTTAATCAGTCAGTCTGGTCAAAACTGAAATAATGCTTTCATCAAGCATTTATATTAGTAACTAAATCAATAGAATGAAAAAATAAAAATTAAGTAAATTCTATCATGTAATGTGACTGAGTAGACTAGTCCTTTAATATGGTTTTGTTTATTTCTGTTTATATTGTGGGCAAAACCTTATCTTGTTCTTTTCTTTATCTGTAACTCAGGATTATTCTAAATTAGTACTGTCTAATAGATAAATAATGAAAAAACTATGTAATATATAATTTAAAATTTTCTAGTAATCATGTTAAAAAAAGTAGGTGAAAATAATTTTAGTAATATATTTTATAATAATCCAATATATCTAAAATAGTATTATTTCAGCATTCATGTAAGGCCTCAAAACTCTCTTTCTGGTAAATCTTTGGTAATCTTTTCTGAAGTTAAAGAACATTTCTGTTGGCTTCACTAGATTTAGAACAAAGTAGGATGGAAACATATTTGACCTTTCCAAATGAATGAGAATTGTTTTTTCTGTACAAAGGCAACTTGAAATCTCCAGAGTAGTTTTCCACTGTATATAGTGTAACTTGTGTAGACTTTGCTGAGTATAATCCTGATTCGCTGCAGTTTTGTCCCACTCAGTTACTTTAAACTTACTTAAAAGAAAGTGTATGTGTATACATTCATATATATATTGGTTAGTTACATATGGACGCTCTGGTCTTTTACAAACAAGTGAGGTTGATCAAGTCCTTTTGTTTCAAAGTCTGTGTAACCAGGAGGTGCTTACACTCAAGGTCTTTGAATTCATTTTCAGGAAATCAAAGGGATAACTTCTAAAAACTTTACATCTAACCATAGTTTCCCTGTTGATACATGTTTACTGAACATATTTTTCTATAGTAGACCTGCTTTATCTGTATGGAAAAACATTTTGAAACAGAAAACTTCCTTCATCAAAGATCTCTGCAAAGATCCAATTTGGAATACTTAAAATGCTTATAGTAACTGTTCTCACTAATACATTGTGGCATTGTACCCTGAATCTATGAAATTCTCCATGACTTATTAGAAAAATTTCATCAGCAACATTTTTACCCTACCTAACCTTTCAAGTTCTTTTAAATGACTACCTAGCTTTCTGTTATTAACAGACTAATAGCAAACTTTGATGTTGAACCTCTAGCAACACATACTAAAGGTGTTTTGATTTCACTGATCATTTTTTCTTCTTTCCTGCTACTATTGAGCATAGCACATCTCATGGGTTGCATGATTTTTTTTTATCTTTCAGAATTGTTCTCTTGTTCAGCATTTCATTGCCTGCTAACATAGAATTATTTTGTTATCACCTTCAATTATCCATACTTTTATTTCCATCACAACTATGTGTATCTTAACAGCATTTTCAATGTAATTACTGCTTTTGCATTAATAAGAATTGGTAAGGTTAAACTTAGAAAACCTTTCAAAACTAAAATACCAGGTACACTTTCCCTAATGAAGAAGTAAATGGGCAAAACTAAATGTCCATACAAGCCCAAGTCTACTTACGCCACCTATTAGGAAAGAGCATAGCTTTGTTTGATTTTTTGATGTTTATAAATTTAAAGTTCATAAATGTGTCACTTACAGGGTTGGAATAGATTCAGTTAGCTTTTCACATATTCAGTTCAGTTCAGTCACTCAGTTGCGTCCGACTCTTTGTGACCCCATGGACTGCAGCATGCCAGGGCCTCCCTGTCCATCACCAACTCCCGGAGTTTACTCAAACTTACGTCCATTGAGGGGGTGATGCCATCTAACCATCTCATCCTCTGTCGTCCCCCTCTCCTCCCACCTTCAATCTTTCCCAGCATCAGGGTCTTTTCAAATGAGTCAACTTTTTGCATCAGGTGGCCAAAGTATTGGAGTTTCAGCTTCAACATCAGTCCTTCCAATATTAGTATGAGGATAAGTATGGTGGAATCATGTTCTGGGATATATTAGCACATTTATCTGCTCTGAGAAACTTTCATTGATCTCTAATCTAAATGAGCTGTTGATGTTCACTTTGCTGTTTCTTGAACTTAAAATTTGAGGGTTCTAAAAAAGGAGTACGTCAAGGCTGTGTATTGTCACTCTGCTTATTTAACTTATATGCAGAATACATCATGAGAAATGCTGGGCTGGAAGCAGCACAAGCTGGAATCAAGATTGCCGGGAGAAATATCAATAACCTCAGATATGCAGATGACATCACCCTTTTGGCAGAAAGTGAAGAGGAACTAAAAAGCCTCTTGATGAAAGTGAAAGAGGAGAGTGAAAAAGTTGGCTTAAAGCTTAACATTCAGAAAACTAAGATCATGGCATCTGGTCCCATCACCTCATGGGATATAGATGGGGAAACAGTGGAAACAGTGTCAGACTTTATTTTTCTGGGCTCCAAAATCACTGCAGATGGTGATTGCAGCCACGAAATTAAAGGATGCTTACTCCTTGGAAGGAAAGTTATGATCAACCTAGATAGCATATTAAAAAGCAGAGACATTACTTGGCCATCAAAGGTCCGTCTAGTCAAGGCTATGGTTTTTCCAGTGGTCATGTATGGATGTGAGAGTTGGACTATAAAGAAAGCTGAGCCCTGAAACATTGATGCTTTTGAACTGTGGTGTTGGAGAAGGCTCTTGTGGGTCCCTTGAACTGCAAGGATATCCAACCAGTCCATCCTAAAGGAGATCAGTCCTGGGTGTTCATTGGAAGGACTGATGTTGAAGCTGAAACTCCACTACTCTGGCCAAACTCATGTGAAGAGTTGACTCGCTGGAAAAGACCCTGATGCTGGGAGGGATTGGGGGCAGGAGGAGAAGGGGACGACAGAGGATGAGATGGCTGGATGGCATCACCGACTCGATGGACATGGGTTTGAGTAAACTCCGGGAGTTGGTGATGAACAGGGAGGTCTGGCGTGCTGCGATTCATGGAGTCGCAAAGAGTCGGACATGACTGAGCAACTGAACTGAACTAAGCTATTAAAATCTTTAAGAGATTCTGTTAATGTTTTGGAGACAATCCAGAAAGAGAAGACAGGAGTCCAGGAAGCTAATCAGTAGTAGTGGAATAGTTCTTTGTTGTAATGAATTAGAATACTATGTGGGGAGGAATTCTTTTATCTACATTAATCTTTGTTTATAAAGATTCTGCTGCTTTGCTATCTGTTTAACCCTGCTTCTAAGCACTTTTTTTCCCCTGATAATGAAGATAAATTTGTTGAAAATAGAATAAAATACTGACAAGGAAAATTCCTTGTCAGTATTTTAGTATGGATTTAGGTACACCTTGAAAGTTCATGAGCATTTTAATATTAAGTTAGACTTAAGGAAGCTAATTAATCTAATCCATTGTAGCCTGCCTACTTGCGCATACCTCTTATATAAACCTGATTCTAGGAACTTTATCTTCATTGTAGTTTATCACTTCATAGTGTGACAAGTTGATGTTATTGTCCTAATATGAATTCTATAAAGATTAAAGAATTATCTAAAGCTGTAAATATAAGGATTTAACAATTCCATTTGTTAAAATATCTTTCAGGACCCCATAAATGCATCCAGAAATGCTTTGAGATATATATTAAGGATATCATCAACATCAAAAATATAGTTTATAACTTTTGTTTTTAACCTATACCATGATTCTCAGCCCTTCCCACCCCCTCACTTACACCTACCAAAGGCAGATCAAGAAATACTCTGTAATGGCCTATAGCAAAAAGAAGCCCCCAAAAGTTGGTTTTTTTTTTTTTTTTTTACCGGTTTGGTTTTGTTTTCCTTTTGAACTTACCCCACCTTTTTAATTCATTGTTCCCCCATTAAAAAAAATTTTTTTTAACTTGTAAAAAAAAAATCCCTTTATATTATTCCTATTTTTATTATTTTTTTCCTTTATATTATTCCTATTTTTTTTAAAAAAGTCTGACTCTCTTAATTCTTTGATCTCTCCTGAATTCTGTATGCATGAACTGTCAAATTCATGTATCATTTTATTCATTCTTCAACATGTATTTATTTAGGAGATAAGAGAACCCACCAGAAATTAATCTTGATAGTTAATTGTATTACTTAGGATTTTATTCCTTATTTTACATTATTTCATTTTAAAGTGGTTTAATGGTGGTTCTGAAAGGCACACTTTTGTTCCTTCTTTCAGATGGTCTCCATCCCTTACACGGTGCAGTAGTGGCGGATCATGACTACGTTGGAATGCCCGAGCTTCCAGTTGGAGCATACCAAGCAAGTATTCTGGTGGAAGATGCGGCCATTGGAATAGTCGACAGCGAGTTACTGACGCCAAGCAAGGATCGTGAGCTATTAGAATACAGAAATGCCAAAATCTCTCCACTGATGGAAGATCATAATGCTCTTGAAAAGCAGACTTTTAGTCTTTTGGACTCTTCAAACCAAGTCCTTGAGTACTTAACTTAGTAAACACAAAAATTCATTTAAAGTACTGTTTAGAGAATATATCACCTTGAATCTTATCTTTTCCATTCAAAAAGATTACATAGAAAAAGTATCTTGACAAACTCTTAATGACTAAATCCTGAAGGTTTATTTTGTAATTATTTAATTTATTTGAAGTTCTTCATTTGAATGTCAATGCATATATATGTATATATATATATTTAGGCAAAGGAAGCATGTAATATATGGATATCATTTTTTCTTCTACAAAAACAACAGACAAAGCATGCTTGCTTCTTGGGAAGTAAACTAAATTCCAACTCAAAACTTTGGTATTGTTACCATGTTTTCAGTTTCCTTTTTTTTTTTTTAATATTCCCCCCTTTTAAAAACTGTTTGAACTACCTAGAACTGCATTAATAAATATTTATTGAATGTGTTAAATGAAACCTATTCCTGTGTCATTGAAACATCTAAAAATATTGTAGTTACTTAATGGGCTCCTACAGGGTATTGGTAAGTTTACCTTGTTAGACAGGCTAAGGATTAGGATCTGAAACTATATATTGGCTTGAAAACATGTGTGTATTACTATAGTATATATTAAAGTCAAAAGCATCCATTAATAAATTTTTTTCTGCAGTCTTAAAAAAAGAAAATTATAAAATTTTGTTCTGAGAGAATAGCACTGAAACAAGTATGCTATCAAGGGTGAAACAGATCACCAGCCCAGGTTGGATGCATGAGACAAGTGCTAAGGGCTGGTGCACTGGGAAGACCCAGAGGGATGGGATGGGGAGGGAGG